GATACTATGTTGGTTCAGCAAACAAAGAGGTCTCTAACATTGCTGTCTATTTCCGGGTTTTTTATTTCACTTACACACATTTTTATATGAAACATGCTAGTAAATATTTAAAATCTATGCAAGAGTCAGCTGTAGTGTCAAGTGGAATGGCAGCATAGCTACCTGTCCGCTCCATGGTCCTGAGCTGGTGTTTGGTGTCTATCGTATTGGTGTGTTCTCCTGGTATTTATACGTCATATTACTGGTTACTTGACTCCCAAAAGATAACACCCTGGCTGGTCTTGGTTATTGTAAATCATGCCTTCTCCGAGAGCCGTGCGAGTTTAATGCTGGATTCCGCTTTCATTTGTACAGCCTTAACCTGGACAAGTAGCATGCACTTTTCTTTACTTTTGCTATCAGTTTTAAAGGAACTTCATCTTTGCCGCCACCACACAGGGGTTAAGCTAAATTTCATCATGCTTGATAAAACAAGGTGGTGGTCTCTGCAGAAGTGAGCTATGAGTTACCAACTGAAACAGTATGTGTGGAACATGAATAATTGCTATTGATCTGTGTGTTTTTACATGAGATATGCATGGTACCTATTAGTCCAGTTGATAGGGCTGTATACACATGGTTTGTTTTCAAGCTGCACCACCAGAAATAAAATGCAGAAACAGACAAGGAGCAACCAGCAGTTGTTGTTTGGCTGGCAGGTTGAAACGTGTGACTCTTGTAAAGAGCAGCCTCAAGTTCAAAGATCCACATGCCATTGTTCAAGAAACAGCCAGACAAGATCTTCAGATCAATTAGCTACACTAAATCAGCCAGAAGGGATCAGGAGATGGAGATTATGATGTTCAATAAAATGTGCTATATAAAACAAGTAAAAAGTAAGAAATACTTTTATTGAGAAATTTTAGAGAGAATTAAAAGTACTGGTCTATGTGTAGTAAGAAAATCAATACATACTGTGCACAAGGATGATGTGATCAAGAAACCTTTGAGTAAATAATCGCCCCCCAGCGTGTGCATTTGCTTTCAACAAAAACAACATTTTTAAATCGTTTTTCAAAATATTGCGAATACAATTGGTCTACAATATCATCCAAACACGACTTTAAGATTGTTTCCACTGCAGTGAAACTATTTTGTAATAAACAATTTAATAGCGCAATGCCGACAATTCCTCTTTAGACAGATGCTGCGGTTGAATAACATTTATCTTTACCAGCAAAATCAAAACATCACATACTATACATCGCAAAACACGAGGCAACCTGAGCTTTTCAGAACTGTTTCACAACTACATACATCAGCATAAAGCACATAAACTTTTCTATAGTTACAGTCTCGCGTAAAAATATATCTATAATTAATCGGTTCTCCAAATAAATACAGCGCAAAAGCAAAAATTCGATAAAATACATAAACAACATTTTACCTTACTTGAGAAAGTGCTTTCGTTGGAATTTTTTACCATGAAAATTGACGAGTTTACAAAACATCCCACAACAAAGATGTTTGCTAAAGCCCTGCATGTTCAAATCGACCGGCCTAAAAAAAAAGCTATTCTGATAGGTAAAAAATAGCCGTCATTCAGCGAATTCTGACCATTCAGAAACCTAAACCCACCTCTCTATAGCATGCATGCGTGTTTGTTTTTAGTTTCCTAAACTTGTTTATTGTGAGTGGTGTATAAGGCCATAAATACCAGAAAATTGCACACACAAAAAAACACTTTTTTGAAAACTGCATACATTATAAGAGCATACATTATAATATACATTCTAGGTCTGGTAGTATTGAAACACTACAGTAAACATGTCTTCTTTTTATTTTTTTATTATTTTACATTTTTTGGAAGGCTGAGAAAACCAATTCATGTTTTTTATACTTGTTCAGTCACTTTCAATTTTTTTCCATGGTAGTATACATTTTACTGTGTGTGCTGAGAAAGACATATATAAGACTGTACAGTATATAGAATCTGAAGGTTCAAATGGGATGTCGAAGGAGGTCTCTATAATCCTAGACCCCCACCCAGGCCTGTACTGTGTGTAGTGGCCAAGATAATTCAAGACATTGAAAAGTACATTGATTCCAGAAGGGCACCAACATCGGGGAAGGGAGGTATAATTAAGGAAAACAATGAACACTCTAATGATTCGTAGGCTTTTCTCAAATTAGTTGACAAAGATATTCTCATTAGAGAATAACTTCATA